AAATTGGCTGAATCGCGTCTACTCAGGCGTGCAAGCAATGTCTAGGAAGCTCGGACAGTTTTCAGACGCGGTTTAGCCTCGCCTTTCCATGCGGGACGGAACAAGTCCCATAAATGGACCTAACCTAACCCCCGCGCGCCCAAGAGCCCTCTTTTAGTAACCATTTTCCGTGTTTCGGGCCAAGAGCCGACTCGGGCTGCAGCGCGTCAAAGAGGTGGACTTGACCCGACCTGAACGCGTGCAATACGGGAGGCCAAGACTCGTCCAGCAGGACCGAGTTCTGAACCTTCCGCTGACACGTGGAGCCGACAGCCGAGTGGCGAGCGCGCTAGGGCTTGGTGCACAAGACACCCTCAGCCCAGGGGTCGAGTCCTGGTCAGGGCGAACATTTTCTCGTTGTTTTTTTTGGCAGGGGGAGGGGCTGTTGGGTAGGCGGTCAAGTCCAACTTCCCATGTCGGCTGGTCTTTGGTCTTAACCCTTGGTCCCCACGCCGCAAACACTAAATAGGAAAAAATTAGCCTCGGTCAGTATTCGAACCGACAACCATCCGCGTCCCGAGCTCGCGCTCTACCAGCTGAGCCAATGTTGAGGGTTTTGCATACGTGAAGCTTATCTCCGCTGTGGCTCTCACCCCGAAACATATGACTGGCAGAGAGGGGCAAAAGGGTTTAGTCGACTAGATTCGAACCAGCGACTGTTTGCGTACCGGCCCAGCACATCAGGTGTGGCACTACTGTAAAGTCATGACCAGCGGAGCGCGAAAAATATCACCATCACCCAGCCGAGATTCGAACCAGCGACCAGGATCATACAGGGCCCGGACACTACCGAATTGGCCACGACAGAACGATACAGAGCACTACTTTCAGCGGCATGTTGATTGTAAGCTGTGACCGACGCCCGAAGACACTCTTGGCCAGCAGAGCAGGAAAAATGACCGCGGATGGGATTCGAACTACCGACCACCCGCACGATCTGCCAACGATCACGCTTTAACACGCTCGGCTACCAGCTTGCTCCTACGGGGCCGTGGTCTGAACTCGGTCATGCCTAACGGGAGACAAAAAGCGACAAAGAAAAAATTTGCCCCGCCCGGGAGTTGATCTTAGGGTCGACAAGTTTGGTTCGGATGAAGCTGCATGCGGTCATGTCGACTGTAGTCTGTAGCTACAACTGTTTAACTCGTGGTCGCGAAATGTTTTTTATCTTCAAAAAACGTGTCGCACCCACAGTTACGTTTAATTATAGACTTATTATACCTTAAAAGAACCGCAATAAACTAACTTAGAATGAAATATAGAGCTTTTTCTTGATTTAATTCGCATTTTGATTTTAAACTCAAAATAGCGGTTATTTGAAGCACTTTTCCAGTTTCAGTCCTGTATCACCTTAAGCTGACTCGGGCACTGTCGGCTGTAGCTACAATCGTGTAGCTAGAAACAGGGGCGTCAGTATGGTGGCTTTATATACTTTTCTCTTCACACTGTACAATTTTGTTCATTTTCAACATTCCCAAACAGTTTTAAGTGAGCGAGCTCACTCGCGCAGGTGGGCTCTCTAACCGCGCTGCAGATTTGGACTCAGCGTGCGAGAAAACTCCCTAACACGAAATTTCAGTCGTCCTGGTCGTTCCGAGGTTGACGGTCGTTCGGTCGGCCTAACCGTATCTTATTTTGACAGCCCCAGTGGCCGTGTCGGTTGTAGCTACAACTGTGTCGCTACAAAGAGATCGTCCAGAAAGTACGTCCCTTTTTCCTGAGATTCATTTGAAAATTGCGGAAGCTAGGCGCCTGCGAACTGCAGGGTAGGCCACCCCGCACTACACGCATGCCCCTGCCCCTGCGGGGTTGCCTATGCGCTCTCTGCAGGCGGCTAACGGGTAGGCCCTCCCGCTGGATTGGCGGGCCCTACGGGGTTGCCTCTCCGCTCTCT